TTTTCAGACAGTGTGAATAGAACATTGAAGCAGGTCCCCCAACTCTAGCAGAAGTTCAAAAACTATAGTTAATTATCAGTATGGGGGTTGTGGAGATTGTTAAGTTTTTGGTTGAGATCATGAATTAATTGATGTTAGACCACCGTTGGAAACCTGGAAGCACTGGACGGCCGTTTCGTCCTAGTATGGGACTCCTCAGCAGTGCGCATCCACGATCCCGCACCCCGCGGGATTCGAACCCAGGACCTACTGGCTTCGCGCCTGAGCACTTAACCATTAGACCCCTGAGCCGGCATCCAATGGTGTTAGTGTCTAACATCAACCAATCCACGAAATTGCGCGACCACCTTCCATTGTACTGAGGTAGATACCTGTCTCTACCCGACACGGATTAGCTCCACTGGTCACGACTTCTCACTAGAACTCCGAGAATTCCCTCACGAAGCTAGTCACTAGTGAGCACATGTTAATTATCAGTATGGGGGTGCGGGATCGTGGATGCGCACTGCTGAGGAGTCCCATACTAGGACGAAACGGCCGTCCAGTGCTTCCAGGTTTCCAACGGTGGTCTAACATCAATTAATTCATGATCTCAACCAAAAACTACAGTTAATCTGAAACGAGGAAGGGCAGCTGGTCCAGATGGATTGGCTCCAGAGGTCTTTAAGGATGGTGGTCCAATTTTAGCGATTAGGCTGACTAACATTTTAGGTAAAATCAAGTAGTTTGACGTATTCCTATCTCACTGGTCACAATCACTTATCGTTCCAATATATAAGAGAGAGTCAAAATCATCCTGTGACAACCATAGAGGGATTAGTTTGACTAACATAGTATCTAAAATACTAGCCTCGATAATTATCGGACGCCTAACTAAGACTCGTGAACTGCAAACACGAGAAAATCGGGCTGGCTCTAGACCTGGTCGTGGCTGCATCGACCACATATTCACCATTCGTCAGGTACTAGAACACAGGCGTACTTATCGACGTCCGACAGTGGTGATGTCCGTCAAGGATGTCCACTATCTCTATTTTTGTTCAACTTCATCATAGACCTACTGATGAAAATAACATTCTCGTCGACAGAATTTTTAGACATTGATCTCCTACCAGTAGGTCTACTTACCGACTTAGAATACGCAAATAAAGTCGCTGATTAAATGCTGAGTATTTTGGTGGCACTGAGCAACAATACCAGAATGTTTGGGATGCGTTTCTCTCCCTCTAAATGCAAGTTGTTGCTTCAAGACTGGTCTGCGTCAACATCTGAACTAGGGATAGGGAGCTCCCCAAATGCCCTGGTACGGCCGAGAGTGGGGCGGGTTCGCCCTCCCTCTCGAAATTCCCTCACACGGCCACGAGTATACAGCCTCTGCCAGGGAAGTCCTACTCATTGCCTTCTCGTGGCGGGGGTGTTGTTTACGGAAAAGAGATGACGAAAAGCGAATGTCCGGCGCTTTAACCGTATCCCAAACCAATGGTGCACATGGGCTCCAGTGTCCTTCGGGATCAAACGGCGTATGTGCTTGGTCCTACATTGTAGCTGACTGACTGTTCAAAACTTTGTAGGATTCAATTCGTTCTATAGATATTTTACCCGAACTGTAAATGCGATACTGTCAACCCAGAGTTTATGTGAAAGCCATGGTCAGTGCAAGGGTAATTTGTCTTTACACTTTATCTTTTTTTATACCTACCAGTGTTGCGTGTCTTATCGAAATGAATAATATGAGCTTTAGTCACACTGTAGTGATGAGAACATAATTGGGTACAATCGGATGTATTTGATCACAAAATTACAGAATCTGTTAGTGAAATCTGGGAACCATGCGTAAATAGTTCATTTGCAAAATGTCAATCAGTTGTCTCAGACCTGACTGTTCTTTCATTTCTACAGCATTCATTCTTTGTTCTCACTCTCTTTTCTTTGATCTTCTTAACCTTCTACCTCCAGGCATTTCACTTTTGATTCATGATACATACTACTTATATCTATCGACGTCAGTAGCACACATCTCAACACTATTATAATAGAATAATCTTGTCCTTCAATTGGCAGGTAAAATGCAACAGGTATAGCCTAAAGACACATCAGACCAGGTTAACGTGGTGGGCATTTAGGCTGAGATTCGATTGGTTAGTTATGGGAATAACTAACAGTGTATATTATTTCGGTACTGAGTTATACCAGTATTCATACGTATTAAGTAAAGGAAACGACGGTGGATATTCGGCGATGTAGAACACATCTCAACAAAATGTGATTTTTCTTTCAACCTTTCGGATAGAGCTGACAAAAGCTGATTCTAATTACGACTATGTATATACACTTAGTAGTTGAAGAGCAAGGATATTAGTGTTCCCTTCATCAATATTAAATAAACCAGGAATTTGCAGTTGTTAACGGGCGTGAAGTACTATTACCAGACTATGAATCCATTATTTAGTGGGAAAAAATAAAAATTTCTAAACCAAAGTACTGTATCACTGACTAGTCAATACTAAGCTCAGCCTACAGAACCTCTAAAGTAACTAACAGCCAGGCCTATTAAAAATGAAGGTTCAGGAGAGAGGTTAGCAACTCCATCTCATGAAAAACCAGTTAACAATACCCTAACCAGCGTCGAACAACTAGGCGATTCAAACTCTGCTCTGGAAGTTTATGGGAGTTACGATGCCTCGCAGTGAAAGCCGAGACTTTGGAAGCCACTAAACCAGTGGCCCTTCTGACAACCGGGTCAACAATAAACATAAGAACATAGAATGTCCGGACGACGTGTTAGGCTGGGAGCTGATATCGCTTCAGATCAGCGCTTGGTGGTGACCAAGCTATAGAGACATTGGGTCGTTAGACAAACGGGCGTACGATGTTCATTACAATATTCCTTTGACATGCCAACAAGCTCAGCGAGTTCATGGTTCTAGGTCTTACGAGATCTACTAGGAGAGGAGCAAATCACTATATTGACCAACTAAAAAGGCATTGAATAAGCAGTAACTAAAAATTGACGAGATGTTTGACCCCAACAAGCCCCAATTAAACAATATACCTCTGAAGGCTTCCTCCGCAAGATGCAAGAAGGGGAAGCACGGAGGCTGAAGTCAACAATAGCCGAACAGGAGCAGGGATTTGAGCTGTGACCATGTATCTAATTCCTCACTTTCCGATAAATCGATTTCTGGAGCACCTAACCTTACCATGCTTTTGCTTATATATATCTTTGTATATCACTGAATTAACGAGTTTAAAATCTGTTGCATTAATATGACTGCAATCACTAATCATTGTGTGTGGTAAATAATTTAATTTTTAACACCAGCTTAATCCTTCTGATCAATATCACTTGATGCCTATATTGACTCCAAGTTACCCATCCCAAAATTCAACGTACAATGTACAGCGAAGTAATCGCATTATTATTGAAAGGGAATTAAAACAAGGTAGGTTTCACTGCATTTTGTTTTTTGTATCTTGATTTGTAGAAGCCAAGTGTTTGGTTATTTTTTATTATAGGCCAGATTAAATAGCAAACCTTCCAATACCCTTCATAGTTAAATGTATTGTCTGTTACCTCATCCTCTGTCTTGTGTGGAGTGGTTATGATTAGTTTGTCAGTGAAAGTTACCAAAAGCACTATTCTTGTCAACAGTCCTTAAAAATAACTCGCTTTACACGATTTCTGGTCGTATCTATTTAAGGTAAATTGTTCAAAAATTCATCTAAATCTCCATATTTTTCAAATATACTTTAAAGTGCTCTAATCGTCTCAAATATGGGAGTTATTTTATCATTTGGCCTCTCTACTCGAACACAACTGGTTGAGTGAGAGTTGATGGCGAACTGTCATCGGAATTGATTACCTCAAGTGGTGTTCGTCAGGACCGTCCACTCTCTCCATTCTTGTTTAACTTTGTCGTTGACGTGCTTTTAGAGATAACACTTTGCTCATCTAAATTTCTAGGAGTTGAACTTTTACCGGGAGATTCACTTGTTGACTTGGAATATGCTGATGACATAGTTCTATTTGGTGAAGACGCTGACAAAATGCAGAGTCTTCTGACCATTCTAAGCAACAATGCAAGCATGTTCGGGATGCGATTCTCCCCCTCGAAATGCAAAATGTTGCTTCAGGATTGGGTTGCATCAACACCGAACTAACGTAAGGGGGTGAAGTAGTTGAGCATGTTGACCGCTTCACCTATCTTGGAAGTCTCACCAGCCCTTGTTGTCTGGTGTGTGACGAAATCTCACCACGGATACAGAAGGCTCGACTAGCTTTGCGGACTTGCGTCATTTATGGCGTAGGCGAGATATCCATCTACCAATCAAAGGACGGGTTTACTGCACAGCAGTTCGTTCCGGACTACTTGATGTCAGTAAAACATGGCCGATAAGAGTAGAGGATATTCGTAGGTTACTGGTATTTGATCATAGGTGTCTTCAAAGCATTGCTCGTATATCATGGGACCATCGAGTAAGTAACACAGTTGTTAGGAAACGGGTACTAATTAAGGATAGCAAGTCAATTGATGACGTAGTAAAACTTCATCAGTTGAGATGACTTGGACGCGTTTCACGTATGTTCAACCACCGATTGCCCCCATGGGCGATGTTTTATGGTGTGGGAGTAGGTTGGAAGGAAGCTAGGTGCGACCGGACCCAAACATGGCACAAATCCAAGAAGTCACTGATGAGTGGATTGAGTCATGTTGGTAGGTGTAGACTAGCTGGTCGGGATCCGTGAAACGATAGCAACTGATGGTTAGAGACCTTAAATGACATAGTTCAAAATCAATTGCGATAGCGCAGGTGCATCCACTCTTTGTGTCCTCCCAAATTCCAATCTTCTGAATCCTTCATGTCCCTTAATTTTCCTCTTTCCAAATTTATTTCACTGGGTTATACTCCTTGAATAGCATCTTCAAACCCTATTGTTTCCGATTGTTGCTTATGCTTTTGCTATCTCTTTCACTACGGGATTTGAATCGACAATTGTATCTCTGTGCTAATGTGGTATGGCAGCTGGAAATGATGCATGTACGTACAAAGTTCTACGTCGCTGCTGAATGAATGACTTAGTAAACATCTATTAGTAATAGTCGTTTTATTGATTCGCTGTATTTCGCAACCAGGGCTAATCATTCTGCCTGTAGTTTTTTCACGTGTTTATATCATTTTTGGAAATAACGTCATTTTCGTGGTTTATTTGGTATCGATGCCGAAAAGAATGAAGTAGAAGCTACTAAATATGCACTTTTGTTACTTCTCTCATAAAAAAACCAGTGGCATTCTCCAACATAATCGAAGAAAAATTTCAACGTGTAACTTCACAGATTTTGGAGGCTTTTATCTTGAATTATCATTTTCAAACCTACATCTAAATAATGTTAAAACTCTTTGGTTTCACATATCTGGGAAGTTTCTAATACATTTAATAGTGAACAGATATGATTTATTTAAGGTAAATACTTCTACTGTAACTGAACTGTTGATCGATAAAAATGTTCACGAAGGGTTCCGTAAATCAATGCTTGAAGATTTATTCCCCGAATAACAAGGCTAAACGTGTATGATTTTTATCAAATATTACAACTAATTTGAGGACAAAATGTTTTGGTTAGATCAGGCAAAGTTTATTTAACTGCTGTTAAACTTAAATTCCTATTTGTACAGTCAGTTTCACTGTGAATTATCATTTTTTCCATACGTTTTTGTTTCAATTTATACTGTATTCTACTTTCTAAAGGTTTGAATGTTGTCAGGGCTTCAATGATGCACAAGGGTTCCTGGTCAAACCTATTTGAAGCAGCCTTTTTCTTCCAATATCGTCACTATGTTGTTGTCATCGTTGTTGGAAATACTAAACATACTTTCATCGAATTATGTGGTTTGGTGGAATCCAGATTACGTGTTCTTGTTAGCAATTTCGAGGTAAACCGTTATGTCAAAATGGCACATGTAAACTGTCATGCCTACGGAAAAGGTCCTAATGATGATGATGCTAATTTTGTTCGTAAATGGTTCATTGGGATGGAATTCGATCGCAATACTAATTCTTTGACCAGTACTGTTCATAATTCAAATGTCTCTAGTGATAAAGCTACCCTGAACGTAGACCTAAGTGAGAATATCAGCTCTTTTGAAAAATCAATTGAACGTGGTCTTTCAAGTGAAGACTTATCAGTAACCGTTAAATATGTCAAAAAGTAAGTCCTTTGATTAGTCTGACAATAAGAAAATATTTAGTATACTCATTCAAAATCGTCCAGGTCATAAAACGCTTGCTCTACAAGTAATTATCATTATAATTATATATTATGTAACAACCGGTTAAGTATTTGGTCATATATTAATTTATACATTAAAATGTAGTTTAGCGGGAGCGAATATTCTTTGTCATATACTAGGTATACAGACAATCCTCTCAGTGTATCAAAATTCTACGATAGTATACTGAATTCACTCAAAATTATTACATAAAGGAAGTACCTATAAACGTAGGACCAGGCACAAATATGCATCGGTCCAAGTTGCCACACCTTATTAGCACTACGAAACGAACACCAAATTCATAGTAGTTAATTCAGTGGTGGTAATATATAAAAGAAAGATTGCGATAAGGATAAAGTACAGGAAGGAAGAATTAGTTTGTAAAAAGAAAGATATGAAGCAATTTTAATCTCTTAGTTTAAGGGAAAACAGAGAGTGTGTACACCGGCCCAACCATCTCAGACGATGAAGATTCGCAACCTAATCAACTGATTTGCCACCATTCCCTAATACCCTGCGTCTAACCTCACTATAACTTACCTGGTGATCCCAGGAGATGCGAGCAATATTTCAAGGACATCTGTGGTCAAATACTAGTAGCTTACGAGTATCTTCTACTCTTAATGGGCATGTTTCGCAGCGGTAAATAGAACAGAACGAATTGCTTCACAGTATACTCGCCCTTTAATTGATAGACTGATATCTCGCCTTCGCCATAGGTAAAGTAAGTTGACAAGAGCCAAACGGGCTTTTCGAATCCGTGCTGAGATTTCGTCAGACACCAACTCATTAGGGTTGATCAAACTTACAAGATAAGTGAAGTTGTTAACGCGTTTGACTACTTAACTCCCTATCCCATATTATTTATTATTTATTTCAACACATAAACATCGGTACAAGAGGGCACCAAATATATATGCGCCACACCATATTAGTGTGTGGGCTGTGATACTGCCCCGGTGCCCAAACCGAAGCAGGTAGTTTTCTTAGGGGGGCCACACCCCGAGCCTTTGACCTAAAGGTCTGATCCACAAGGCAGTGGAGCATCGTGAGGAGATGCATTCCCATGGTAGCCGGTTACCAACGATTGGTTCATACGCCGTTTGTTCCCGAAGGACACTGGAGCCCATGTGCACCATTGGTTTGGGATACGGTTAAAGCGCCGGACATTCGCTTTTCGTCATCTCTTTTCCGTAAACAACACCCCCGCCACGAGAAGGCAATGAGTAGGACTTCCCTGGCAGAGGCTGTATACTCGTGGCCGTGTGAGGGAATTTCGAGAGGGAGGGCGAACCCGCCCCACTCTCGGCCGTACCAGGGCATTTGGGGAGCTCCCTATCCCTAGTTCAGATGTTGACGCAGACCAGTCTTGAAGCAACAACTTGCATTTAGAGGGAGAGAAACGCATCCCAAACATTCTGGTATTGTTGCTCAGTGCCACCAAAATACTCAGCATTTAATCAGCGACTTTATTTGCGTATTCTAAGTCGGTAAGTAGACCTACTGGTAGGAGATCAATGTCTAAAAATTCTGTCGACGAGAATGTTATTTTCATCAGTAGGTCTATGATGAAGTTGAACAAAAATAGAGATAGTGGACATCCTTGACGGACATCACCACTGTCGGACGTCGATAAGTACGCCTGTGTTCTAGTACCTGACGAATGGTGAATATGTGGTCGATGCAGCCACGACCAGGTCTAGAGCCAGCCCGATTTTCTCGTGTTTGCAGTTCACGAGTCTTAGTTAGGCGTCCGATAATTATCGAGGCTAGTATTTTAGATACTATGTTAGTCAAACTAATCCCTCTATGGTTGTCACAGGATGATTTTGACTCTCTCTTATATATTGGAACGATAAGTGATTGTGACCAGTGAGATAGGAATACGTCAAACTACTTGATTTTACCTAAAATGTTAGTCAGACTAATAGCTAAATCTAATCAGTCTTCACAGTTGATTGATCACTGGGTAATGATCATTATTAGGTCCGTCTTTGTGCGAATCGATTTCTGTCGACCAAGTTTGCAATCTGGCGGTTAGTGTAGGTCACTCGACATTAAGTGCACAGTGTTGAGATGAGATTGGGTTCGTGGTAGTCGATAGGATACCCTGAACTTAGTTTTCTCGCTATTTGATACTCATCAGCAATTTGTAGCTGTAATCTCTGGGTGACACTGGGTCGAATCCGTCACGTAGCATCACTCCCCTCACGACTACAGGTACTCCTTGCTGACGAGTGTCAAATAGTACGAAACCTACATCCAGGGTTTCCTGTTGACTACTTCGAACCACCATCTCATATTTAGCCATACAAGTCTTTGAAGGGGACTTGAATGTAGTTGTAACTATTGTAGGATAGATTTCTTCAGAGAATTCTTATTGCTTGGTGGATTCAGTCTTGATTGTCAAGTTCGAGCTAGATTACTTTTAGCTGTTTGTTTCGATTTAGTATTTAACTGACCCATTAAACCACTGAAATATTGTCCATAATACTCCACAATATCTTTTATTCTTAGGTCACAATTAGCTCAGTTCATTTCTGCAGAAGATATGAATGAAATTAAACGTCAAGCTGCTTCTGCCGCTTTATCAAATGTAAATAATCCTACTGAAAGTCTAAAAAGTGGCCGTTTACTTCCGAACAGCAACACATTGAATTCAATATCCAGTCCAGCCAGCAGTATTGAACTCTCTGGATCTGAGGAATTTTCGTCCCCTGCAAATAGTCTTCATAATTCCATTTCTACAAGTTCTCTGACCAACATGGCTACCATAAACTCATCACCAAAATGTCCTCCTCCATCTCCGAAATTAATATCCTCTGGGGTATGTGGTGCTGTACCACCTGACATTCAACTAAATGAATCATCACTTACCCTAGATAATCATAAATATGTAGGTTATTCATTATGACCACCTCGTAAATGAATAGGCTTTTTTCTGTAATCCCTAAAACTTCACCTTAATGTGCTTGTTATCACAAAAATAGCATTATTTGGTCTGTAACATTTAATTGGGATTAAAATTATATGTATCTTGTCGCGTTTCATTTCCGTAAACTAATCCCATAATCGTATCATTTGTAATTCTAATAGTTTATTGAAAATCCTTCTGATCTTAACGAATAATACTGATGATCTAAGAGTTACAAACTTATAAAATACCATCTTAAAATTTAGAAAATAAGTACATGTTATATGTGAGGTTTTTTTATGCTTAAAATTTAAGTTCAATGCAAAATTTTCCTTGTTTAATACTTTTATCTCAGGATCCCATGAAGGATACACATTTATTGTCTTCAGATCATTCCTTGTGCAATAATACACTCAATACAGTCGATTCTACTGGTAAACTTACACCAAAACGTGTTGGATTGGTTGATTCCAGTCTTGAACTTTCCTCCGATAGTCATCCAAATTCTAGGAGTAATGCTGACTCACAATTGCATGGTTCGGAAGATTTTAGGAAGCGTGCCCGTATATCTTCGGAAAATTCACGACCTGTTGTTTTTACTTCATCTGCCCAGTAACCATTACGACAAAAAAACTACTGCTTCTTGTTCTCAGAAAAACAAGCAAACTTTCACTAGTCCCTTGTAATTATTTATTTCTGTTTTCCAGTGTCGATGGTCTATATGTTATATATATATATATATACAGACATAATTGATGTATTAATTTCAGTTGTTTGATGTTCAAATCTGTTGGATTGCCTTAGTTGACTTTTTGGTTAGTAATACCTACCATAATCACCATTCTCACTTGTGTGCATTTAATCTGACGTTTGTTTCATATTTGCAAGTTTGTATTCATTCGTTGGTCTGTTGTTATTTTCGGTAAGTTTAAAAACATTTTTGACGTTTATTAATCTTAATCGTAATGCTTATTACTAATTATTCAATTGCATAAATAGTCGAACGTTTACAAATAATATTATGAGTAATTAGTGTAATTTAATTAGTTGATGAACGGTCTTATCGTTTTATCTGTATTGAAAGTTAACGTAATTGCCTCACTTTCATTACGCCACTACGAAGTATTATTTGTCGCGTTGCTGAATTTTACGAATATTCAGTCTGTCAGTCTTGCCTAGTATAGTTTTTTCTTAGTTGGCTGATAATTTTTGCTTACTGAAAGTTCACTAAGTAACCTCCCTCACACAAAGAATTCTTGTCTTGTCAATCCACATTGTATTGCGTTTAATTTGTTACTTTGTGTTCGAGTTTTGGTGTATATTACTTACAATGATTTCAGATTAACGGTTTTTACCTGTTTTTGCGTGGGGGAGAAAACATGAAGTCTCAGTCACTACCACCGTTTTCATCATTTTCCTTGAACTGAAAGTTCTT